AGACCCCAAAGTAGATAAAGTTTTGTCACTATTACATCATGATACACTGGGCTGATTACTCTGATTACACAATATCATAGTGATTCAAGTCCCTGCTATGTTTTTTCTTGGCGGCAGGGGACATTGGATAAAGGAACACTTGATTTCCACAATTTCTTATAGGGTAGTATAAGAAATATAGTATGGATGGGTAGAATAGGTGAGTGATCCATTCTGTGTCTTTTATTCATGATAATTGCTAGTGAACTGACTTAACTGTAGAGGCTAATTGTTCAGACATTAGCACCAATGAAAGCCAAAACAGTTTGGAGTCTATGGCTCAGTGAAGTTTCATACACTTCTGTCCAATAGAACTTATTGATATAGACTGTACAGGACCCACTCCTTTCAGGCAAAGTGTTTCCAAAATTTGCTTATTCCCTTGACCCTGGAGACAATGGGGAACAATTGCATCTTAATATTCCTTTTGCTTTCCCTGGAATAAAAACGATGAACCATTGATCTAAAGGCAAAAACAAAACTAGTTATGTAAGTCTTCCCAGAAAACAGGAACTGACTAACTCAGGGTGAATTCAGGAATGTCACAACTAAGTTAGGGGGGAGAAACTAATTACAGGCAGGAGCCATTTTAAAAGGGCCCAGGAGGAAGCTATTAATTAAAGGCACTGTAGCTGCGAAAACGCTTGGTAATAGCTTCCAACTGGACAAGCTGGTGCTGCAGTTGGATTTTAATACTTCTTGTGTGTGCTACAAATCAGGCTTGAATAAAGACAGGAGGATAGATGGAAAACACTGGAAGGCAATGCTGGGCAGCAACGTTGTCTGGATTCCTCATAATAATGGAGTGAAAAATTAGGTCTGTTCCAGAGATAACAGCTAGTGTGGAAGCTACATATATTTAGGTCCAGGTCCTGAATGCTAAAAAGAAAGACTCTGGCTTTTTGCATGATGGTAGCATATTAGCAGGGGCAGATGAAGGTGGCTAAACTCAATTATTTAAAGTGCAGGAGGTTTCCTGGAATCAGTCATTCCAGGCATTGGCTTATACACCCATGTTCATTCCTGCACACTCTTCTTCCTAATCTAGAGGCACAGAATTAAGAAATTTGACCTCGGTAACCTTTCAAATGAATCTTTTCCCTTATCTGACAAGTGAACTCTTGAGTTTTTGCAAAACTCACGATGACTGTTCTCGATCAATGTACTACTAAACTCCTTAAAGCCATCATTCAACTTGCAACAGCATGCCGGAGCTATCTTTGCCCTGACTCAATCAATCTTTAGACAGCCTGGTTTACCAGAACCAGACCTTTAGTATGTGGGTACCTATACCATTCGTTCATAATTGTATTTGTATGCTGCTTTTCCACAAAAAGAATCATCCTCAAAGCAGCTTACAAGAAAGGAAACATGAAAGCATTTCAGAAACAAACAGCACAAAACAGTTTCATAGTAACAACAGCAAATACAGCAACATACCAAATATCTGTCTGTCTGTCTGTCTGTCTGTCTATCATCTATCTCTATCTATCTATCTATCTATCTATCTATCTATCTATCTATCATCTATCATCATCTATCATCTATCTATCATCTATCTATCTATCTATCTATCTATCATCTATCTATCTATCTATCTATCTATCATCTATCTATCTATCTATCTATCGTCAGTACTACAAATATAACAAGATTACATTAACAACATCCAACAGCTTCATCTTGATCCTAGAAACAGCTCTCCCATGATGTGGCTCACAGTCCCTCTCCTGAAGTCACTTGCAAGGATTGTCGTGCCTGCCCCAACCTCATAGGCCTAACAAAAGGTTTTGCATTTTTTGCATCAACCTGAGATCCTACACAACGACCCTATTAGTCTTGATAAATATTTTAAAGTATTTTAATATGGGCTTATCGCTCATTTAAAGCACACAAGCACACCCATCCAAAAACAATCCTGGGAACTATATTCTGTTACGGGTGTTGGGAATTGTAAATCTGTGAGAGTTAAACAAGTTTCCAGGACTCTTGGGGAGGGGATGTGTGCATGGTGTATATGCAGCCTGTAGTATGAACTGGAACAATGTGAAATAGACTCATGCTTTTCTACTTATTTAATCATCCATTTTGTGTCCAGAAACTAGGATGAAAGTGCATGATGGTGGTGGTTGTGGTGGTGATGATGATGATAATAATATATTTTCTAAAGAGCGGAACGCACTATGTCACACTGTATAACATAGGGCCATAGACTAGAGTACTTTCAAGGAACCTTTCAACAGTGAGTGATCTGAAAAGGAATCTGTGCCATTCCAGCTGCAGGACCCTTTCACCTTCAAGAGAAGACTCATTTCATTTAGGCTTACTATGAGAATATTGCTAGAACACAGCCAATACATTGTGGGAAAGGTCACCCATATTGGTTGTTCACCATGAGCGATCTTCTCATTGAGGAATCAGGTGGTCTATTGGGACTCAAAGCTATTGTTGTAGATATGGATCCACTCTCTTTTACCCATTCAATTCATTCATCTGGCTTCATTAACCCCTCCTGAATTAACACCTGAAATGGAGGGATAAAATAACCCCTGCATGATCCTTTAAAAATGTACGACAAGATGCTTCTTAGGTATGAGGAGAGAGTGCATTCACTTTAAAGGAAAATGATGAGGGCACAAGGAACAGTCCTTTTCCTTCATCATATTATCTTCCCTAGTAGCTGCTGTGTCCTGACCAGTCCTGTGCTTTTCCTGTAGCGAGGGAGGAAAAAATGCCAGAGATGCATGCCTTGGTGATGATGGCCAGTGGATTGGAAATATCTAAATGATGCATCCTGCCTGGTGCCTGTTGGTGGTTATCTCTGGCTTTCTCAGGGGCTCAGTATGTCTTGAGTTGGCAGGGGTGCCAACCTGAATAAAATATTGGGGGGACAAGTAAGCCTCACCCCAGATAATTGATCACAAAATACACACACAATTTGAATGGTAATGCCCATCAACTTTGGGGGCCTGCCCTCTCAAATATTTTATTGGGAGGCAGAGGAACCTCAGTCCCTAGGAGTTGGCTTCTATGGTTGGCAATGTGGACCACCACCAGCAGCAGTTGGCCACAAATGTGCAAAGTAAGTTAGACTGAAGACGTGAGAGAGCAGAAACTCCAAGAGTCCCTTTTCCAGCTTACTTTACTTATTTCTTTCAAGGGGCTCCTGCTCAGTCCTGACTGACAGTTTTGCAATAGGCCAAAAGCATTCTGCAAAGTGAACCCAATTACAAAGGCTTTTGAGCCACTGAAAATATTGCTGCTGACATGCCTTTTCATCCCATTTGTGGTGGACCTCAGGCCTGGTCACTGGGCATCTCCCTGGGGAATTACTCCTTTCCAGGACACAGCTCTTTCTGGTCCTGCTCTCTTGCTTCCACAAGCGCTTTTTTCCTGGCTTGTTGTTTTCCTCATAATGTCTCTTGAGGAGCTGAGGACAGAGAAAGATCTAGGTAGGTGTAGAGATGCCTTTGACTTCTGTGTGGCTGAAACATAGGGCTTCCCACAGATTGATGTTTGTTCCAATTTAGTAGTAAACAGCGACTTTTCCCGAGAAAAGTGTTGGGACAAAAAACCCAAAAAAAACCAAATCAGACCGGTGCCTAGAAATCGTTGCACAAACAGAAGAGTGGACGAGCCCTTACTCTGCATAGGTAAGAGTCACAACTGTTGCTTCACCTGCTTTGGCTTCTGTCCCCACCTGGTCCTGCCCACCCATGTGGCCCTCGGAAGGTTCCTGACAAGGGAATGTGGCCCTTGGGCTGAAATAGTTTCTCCACTCCAGACCTAGCAGTTATTCACTCCAGACCTACCATCAGGTATTTTACCTTTCTGGTCAATATTCTTGCCTTGGATCCATAACGAGGTGTTTTGGTGTAGGAAACATGCTTTGTACCTGAGGGAGTTGCAGTTCATTATTGTGTTGTTTCCTGCACTCTAATCAGCCAGGTCCCCTGCTGGTACACCCAAGCCTTCAAACCTTCCCGCCTCAACTGCACTATCCACCAAAACTAGCAGCTCTCCTGCCTCCATCCAGTGGTGCAGTTTGGTAGTTGAAGACTCTGGGATTAATGATATTGTGGAGACCACCTTGAGATGGCAATGTCCATTATTTGGCTTGTGTCAACATGTAGCAAGGCAACATGTCAAGGAAGTAAACAAGGAACATATCAAGGAAATAAACAATTATCTGACTTTTAGAAGACATCTGAAGGCAGCCCTGTTTAGGAAAGTTTTTAATGTTTGATGTTTTATCATGTTTTTAATATTCTGTTGGGAGCCGCCCAGTGTGGCTGGGGAAACCTAGCTAGATGGGCAGGGTAGAAGTAATAAATTATTATTATTATTATTATTATTATTATTATTATTATTATTATTATTATTAACCCTCCTGCCAGTTCTCCTTAAGTGGGATCCCAAGGGCACCACTGACTCCATCCACCATACAGTCACAAACCACCTGCCTTATTCTATAACATTTTTATTTCCAAGTAAGTGTCACTGAATGTATTTATTTATTCTTTATTTATTAAATTTCTATACTTCCCTTCACCCTCGGATAACCAGGCAATTTGTCAGTAGTGCTTTCTTTCGAGTAACCACACATAGGATCGGGCTGCTGTGCAACACATCTTCTTATTTGCTTTGGGGGCATCTCTTTAGCTTTGTGCGGTTTTGTAAACCGCCCTGCGGTCTTCGAATGAAGGGCGCTCTAGAAATTTAATAAATAATGATAAATCCTTCAAATAACAAATGATACCCCCTTCTTCGTGATGCTGCCAAAGTTTGCCCTTCGGAAACTTCAAGCCTTGCGGGAGGCTTGGAGGTAAGGGCGGCTTTGACACGTGTCCCTCTACCTCAGGGGTCCTCTGCCCCGGGGGAGGCTTTTTAAGGAGGGCATTCCGCCTCCGTGTCCCTTCTCACCCGCGGAGTTTCTATAGACTGGGGCACGGATTTCGGTGATCGGTTCCCAAAGCACCTCCCGTTCGATCCGCCCAGTGGGGAACACTCCCCACCACACACACACACGTGTCTTGGCGCCGGCGCCGCGCAGCCACCCACGCACCCTTGCTCCGCTATTTCGCCGACCCCTGCGAAGAGAGCTCGGCTGCCTAAGTAAACATCGCCGAGCTGCTAATCACAAGGTCTGAAACAAAACAGCACTTCACTTCGGATCTGGGCAAGATCAGACCTCCTCCTCCTGCTGCTCTCCTTCGCATCGGCTAAGGTGGTCCTTGAGATCGAGCCGCTTCCCTCCCTTCTCTCGCTTTTCCTCCGCGCACCGGGGGAACAGCCGGGGGGTCGGGCACCCATCTCGGGCTGCAGCCGAGCGCAAGGCTGCGTTGCTTAGTTCCTGGCTTGGCTTTCTCCGGAGACAAGAAGAGGGGAAGAGAGCGCGCGGAGGGGAGGGGGGGGATCTTTCCCTTGCCCTCGCTTCCAAGCTGCCCATGCTGCGATTTTTATTTCTCTCTCGCCGCCCCAGCCAGATCTAACCACTGCCTCTTTGTCGAGTCTGCTCCCCCCGCCACCTCCCGCAAAGTTGCTGTCGTCGTCGGGGTTTGAGAGCGCCCCAGGATGGGGCTTGATCCTGCAGCCCCTCGCCAGTCTCCCGGGTACTGGCGAGCCTTGCCGCTGCTGGCGTGCGCTTTCCCCTTGGTGACATTCGCTTCCTTCGCCGACGAGACCTTAGAGAGAGCCCCCAAATCCGAAGGCTACTGCAGCCGGATCCTGCGAGCCCAAGGCACGAGGCGAGAGGGATATAATGAATTTAGCCTCCGCGTGGAAGGCGATCCGGATTTCTACAAGCCCGGAAACAGTTACAGAGGTGAGTGGGGCTGGCCGCTTCCAAAGGGCGCAGCAAGTGTCGGGCAACTAACCGGGATGGTGGGCGGGGGGGGGGGGAGAGGTCTTCCTCTCCGGACGGAGGCAACTTGCTGCGATGCACGACGCTGGTTAGGGGGGTGGGTTGCTTTGCTACGCAAATAAGGAGCAACACTTGTTCTGTTTTTTAAATCGAGTTTGTGTGTGTTGCTATCTCTCCCTCCCCACCCCCTTAATGCTTGCTAACGGGGGTAAGAGGAAGCCCTGTTCTACGACGCAGCACCCAGACTTGCTCTTTTTACCTTAATTGCCCCTTGTACTTTTCCAGCGTTGCGCCTGGAAATTATTTCACTTGGCAGAAGATACTTAATAGGCTGCTAGTGGTCTTGCTGTGAGACAGGAAAAGGAATAGGACTAGAGAGCAGATGGGCCAAGAAAAGGCACCAGCTTTCCTCACAGTTTCCACTTAGGTCCCAGGCTAACTACTTGGCTTTTATGCTACTTGTAATTCCTGCCCTGAGAAAGCACTCTGCATGCCCTCAGGAGCACTCAGGATGAGCCCTGGCACTGAAAACATAGTCCAAGAAGTAAAGAAAAACATGGCAAGTGGATGAAGGAAAAAGAGTTTCACCTATCCCTGACAGCAAGAGTCCAGCAAGAGGGTGAATATTCTACAAAACGTTGCTCAGAGGTTTCCTATAGTTTTCTCAGAATCAGAGTGTCTCCTTATAATAGGGGAAATATCTACAAATCACATTTTCAGCTTGAACAGCAGATCATTGTTAAGATAATAATATCTAACTTCCCTAGCAGGGCACTTCATCCCCCCCGCCCCATGATTATTATTTTAAAATATTTTGGGAAAATATTTAAGCCCACCTTGAATGCGCCCTTGAGCAAAAGTGTCAGATCTCATTAACATTGCAAACTCATTAACCTAGTTACCTTACGGTAGCCCCAACTTTTGAGGTAGGCATCTTCCCCCACCCCCACAACCTTTAGCTAAAGTAAGTGAAAGAGCATCCTTCTTCTCCCATGAGGCAAACCCAGACAGGATTATATTCTTAGGAAAGGGAATGTTATCCACTTGTGAATATTTGGGATTTGGTGTGTTTTTTTACAGTTGGAAGGAAAGTGGGTTGAATAAAAGAAATAAAGCTGAATCTACATGTAAAACAACCACCATACCCTAAATTATTCTCCATGAACAGGTGACCAGCTAAACTTTGCAACTTTTTTCTGTGCCAAGTCAACTTGGCACCTGCCTATTTGGTTTCTTAATGGCCTGGAAATATTCTTGCAAAGGTTTGAAAATTACTTGCAGTGAAAAGTTCTACAGAGTATTGTTTTTAGTTGCCAAGAAGGGTTTTTTGTTTCTTGGATCTGGAGGGGGAAATAGACTTTCAAATAAACTTCCAGAACAAACTTGGAGGAAATATGAAGTTTTTGCCAGCAGAATGCAATCAAATAATCATTTGCACACACATTTACGAGTGGTAAAAGTTTTCGGATTCTGATCTCTGGTTAGAGGATGTGACACTGGAAATTTAGCACACATTACTTGTAGTTTTCAAAGCTAAATTCTTCCAGATCCTCCTAAAACTTAGCCAGATGGGAGGAGCATGAGAAAATGTTGTAAGTATAACTTTATGTTTCCTACAGCAGTTTAATGTTGTCACTTAGCTTTATTTTTATTAACTGTCACAAGAATTTAACAAGTCTCTCTCATGCAACATGAAATGACATCACACAGTCTGGGGGAAAAATCTTTCCTAGGCTTAGTTGTTTGGTTTTTTAAAAAAAGTAATAACAGTGATCTTAGAAAATATCTGTCTTATCTGAACAAAATCTGTGTAAGAGGCAAAGCTGATTAATTAAGGACAAACTGAGGCTTTGTTGCCTATAAATTACCAGGAAGCAAGAAATACTGTGCAGAAGATGCTGAGAAAGACAGCTGAGTTATAGCCAAAGATTCAGCAAATGATGTTAACAGGGACTGAGAGCATTAGTGGGAGAGAGGGGGAACCTCCTGGTGCCAAATCCTTAGTCTATTTCTTATGTGTTTTTGTCACTGCGTGGGGTTTCTGGTAGAAGGCTTTGCCACCTGGAGCTGTTCTTCAAACAGAAAGAGCAAGCATGATTTTCCTGTTCACAACTGCTACTTCTCTTTGGATGAGCACAGGGTGTGAGGTGGTTTTTAACCATGGGAGGAAGATTCACACTTTTGCAGGGAGAGGAATCAACACATGGCAGAGCTGGCAGAGGGAGGTGGCCACTTCAGGCAGATGACTTGTTGGTTATTTAATTAATTGTCATGGATATGTGCTGCCAGGGAGATGAAGAGGTGCTTGTGGGATTTTGTGCCTTGGGTCCACCTTGTCTTGGTGGAGGGCACCATTTGCTGCTCCACCTCAGGCAGCAAAATATCACGGGATGGCCTGGAACTTGGGACAAGTTGTTTTCCCGCCTAGCAGATGCTTCACACAACTGATTTCCCCTTTGGCCATAAGTTCAGCCTCCACGTGGCAGGATGTGTCTGGAGAATGTTCCTGTGGAAGAGTTCACCACACATTTCTCCCTTTACTAGCATATGTTCAGGACATGTTGATAATCTGTGCTGCCTTGTTTGCATTCATGGGCTCAAAAGGGATTCTGTCATGTGGAGGGTAGAAAACATGGCCACATGTGGAAAGGTGCAGCTTGTAAAACAACTGTCAGTGTTCTGTGGTGCCTTTTGTCCTTTCTGAGGAGGGTGGCCATATGTCCTACTTTACAGAGGACACTCCTTGATTTGAAGGGCTTAAAGATAAAGAGCCATTAAACAGGGGAGAGCAGAGAGGGCCTAGGAATTGCCCATCAACAGTTAGCATCTGGACAGCAGACTAAGCAGGCACATGTCTTATCTAGCCTTCCCTACTATCCTTATATGTATTGTATTTCTATTTAAGTTATACTCGTTGTTTCTAAATTTGCACCTATACATACGGCTTTTTCTGTAACAGTACCCACCAGTACAGAGTACCATGACCTCTTTCTTTGCTGCCCATGGCAGCCATTTTCTGTTGGCACCCATGACACTTTTATCAGTATATCAGCACCTCATTTTTTTTTTTTACCAAAAGCAAAGCAATTATTCATATAATTTTAGGCAACACTGTGTCCCATCCAGTTTGTTCTCCCTCTCTTACACTTCTTCTTTGGAGGCAATATATAAAGGGCCACTGAAATAATTTTGTGAGGATGAGAAAAGCCTCCTTCCTGTCAGTGTACTTGATTTATTTTAGCATTCTCACCAAAATACACTCCCTGGGATTCCAGGGTGGGGTGTGAATAGTCATTTAAACTACTATTTAAATGCAGTGCCTATATATGCTTTATGTGGTACCTGTAGTGATTGCATTGTTCCAGAAGCAATAGGAGAGATGAGATAAGCCTAAAAGAGTTGTCTTCAGCTGAGAGCATGAGGGTAAGGTAGGAAAGTTCCTTCTCTGCCTGTTCCTCAACCTCCCAGGTCTTCCTTTGCCTGAAGCATGACAAAAATCTAAGGCTGCAATGTTATGTACATGTAACTGGGAGTAGGTGCAACTGAACACAGTGGGACTTATGCTCAAGCAAATTGAATATGCATATGATTGTGCTGTGAAGTCTACATTTGGGTCCCCGTTATCCTCTTGCCTGCTGTATCCAAGGTAGCTCTCTCAATTCTTTCAGTTAAGTGGCAGAGGAAGTCATTGCCAGCTCTTTTGATTTTCTTTTTAGCATCATGAGTGTAGGTGTTTTCCTAACACTCTGCCTGCTAAAACTTTGACACTCTTAGCAATAGTTTAGAAAAACATTTTTCATTTTATGATTGTAGGTAAAAAGCGTTAAAATATGGCTGCAGACTGAACCCTCCCCTCCTGAAACTAAAAGATACATAAGTACCTGTAATAAACAATTCCTGAGCTTTGGTTTTTTACAAGCTTACAATTTCTGTTCTAGGCCTGTCTCGCAGAGCTGCCAAATTTGCATATACAGTGGTACCTTGGTTCTTGAACGTAATCCATTCTGGAAGTCCGTTCAACTCCTGAAACCATTCGAAAACCAAGGCACAGCTTCCGATTGGCTGCAGGAGCTTCCTGCACTCAAGCAGAAGCCACGTCTGATGTTCGGCTTCCAAAAAAAGTTCACAAACTGGAACACTTCCAGGTTTTCGGCGTTCGGGAGCCAATGTGTTTGTCAACTAAGCTGTTTGAGAACCAAGGTTTGACTGTAGAAGAAGAAGAGGAGTTTGGATTTGATATCCCGCTTTATCACTACCCTAAGGAGTTTCAAAGCGGCTAACATTCTCCTTTCCCTTCCTCCCTCACAACAAACACTCTGTGAGGTGAGTGGGGCTGAGAGACTTCAGAGAATGGATTAGCCCAAGGTCACCCAGCAGCTGCATGTGGAGGAGAGGGGAAGCAAACCCGGTTCACCAGATTACAAGTCTACCACTCTTAACCACTACACTACACTGGCTCTAAAGACAGTAACAAAGAATAATCCCACAGGATCAGAGCAAAGGCCTATCTAGTCCAGCATCATGTCACCCACAGTGGCCAATTCATAAGCAAAAGCACTCTCTTGTTCATGATCTGGTATTCAGTGACATACTGCCTCTGATGCTGGAGGTAATATATAGCCCTTATGACTTGTAGCCATTGATAACCTTGTTTTCCATGAATTTATCTACTCCTATCAGCCCAGCCAGCATGGCTATTGAACAGGGACTGATGGGAATTGGAGTCCAACCACTTCTGGAGAGCCACAGTTTCTGCGCCCCGGTACCATCCCATCAATGTTGGGGCAAAGGGCAGGAAAGTAGTATTACGTACACTCTTATGTGTGGCACCCACCATATTATGCTCTTCTTACTGAGATTAAGATGGCTCCAAAGATAGGTGTTTCCATCAAGTGAAAACCAAGTGTTTCCTGATGCCCAGTGTCCTAGTTACTGTGCTGTGTTTGAGTCATCAGTTTTAA